TAATCTCCAAATATATTACATATTAATAATGTATTAAGTATTAATAAGTAATATAATTCTTTAAATAGCGATTTCATGATAATTTGATTTTAATTTCATTGAATTAGTAATTCATATCACTATTTAACTGTCTGCAGAAATTATAATATTAAGTAATACAGATTTTAAAAATTTATTTAATTATCTACAATAAAACTCTATATTATATTTCATATATGCTTATTATTACTCCACAATCGAGATCAATATTTTCAACTACAAATTCTTTATTCAATTTTGAATCAATCTTTAAAAGTGTTAAAATGTCGAGTTATACAGATTACTTTTATGATTATTAATATAAAACAATAGTATGAATTGGAATATGTGTATGTAATGAATATGTATTTGTATGTACATAGATATACATGTGTGTTTAAATTCTTTCTTAAGCTAACTTTAAGTACGAAAATTGTGCAGTGCATCGGTATACCGAAGAAAGGAGAAGGTAAAAAGAAAGAAGAACTAATAAAAATTTCTAGACATCCGACGATGTTCCGGGAAGACAATATCTTTCCTCTACGGGCGAAAATAACGCGCTTAAGGGGGATGAAAATAGAGAATGAAAGAAGTTCGGCGGTCTTCGCAGCTGAAGGAAGAAGCCGCGACGACGACGGGCGACGGCGACGGCGACGGCGACGGTAGCATTTAACTCAAAATAGAGCATGATAAGCAACGCGAATGAGCGTCGTCGTTTGCGTAGGCGTCGTTGCTTAAATTAACGAATTAATGGAATCGCGTAGAGAGCCGTAAATTCATCAATAAGCGATCCGAGATCATCGTTGATTAGATTGCGACGTCACATCGCTCGATCACAACTATCACATCCTATCTAGTACATATTGTATTATAGTTCCTTATTAAGCTCCAATGAAATGTAACCCAAATTAATTTACCTCAAAAACTGAAAAAAATTAATGTTAGAATTTAACTTTATAATCTCCCAACAGTTTTGTTTCAAGCTCAAAACACAAACAATTAATTAAGTCTTAGACTGTCAAACAATTAATTAAGTTGTCTGTTTGCTTCCCAATTACTTATTTTTATCATAAAAATCTACAAAATCTTATCAACTATTATAAATTTTCGTTTTTTAATTTAATTCTTATACAAATTACTTTGTGATTTTACTTTAATAAAAGTTAAAATAACTCTAAGAGATTACTTTGATCAGCTTTGAAATAACATTGATTAAATAGTTCATCTATACAACATTTTTTTCTTCTCTTTTATTCCCTACTTATCCCAGATGTTAAATGGAATTGTAATGCAACATATGATCTGTTCGCGTCGATCGAAATCCAAGTTTTCAAAATGAGAGTCTGAAAATGAGATAGATAAATATTTGGGCGTTGAAAAGAGAGAAAGCGGAGATGCTGAGAGTGTAAAAAGTGCAAAGCAACGCGAACACACCTATAGTGTTGATAAGAACCTGTGAGAACTGCGTACGCGCTGATCGATATTCGACTTTAGCCCCGATTATCGCACACGACTGCCCCGCGTCGCGACTAGGCGCGCGCGTTAAAAGGCAACGCCATGACAGGCATTACAATTAATGATGCTGCTCGTATACGAGCCGCGCGGAATAACAATCGATTCGTGCACCTGTCGGGAATGCTCATGTCTCGTATGTATACCCGCTGCTCGTTCATTCGTCATTAAAACGACGGGATTCCCGCGGCTTTGCGAATGCTCTTTCAACCCAGCTTGCTTCCCAATTACTTATTTTTATCATAAAAATCTACAAAATCTTTATCAACTAAATTTTCGTTTTTTTTAAATTTAATTCTTATACAAATTATTTTGATTTTACTTTGTTATAATAAAAATTAAAGTAACTCTAAGATTACTTTAATCAGCTTTGAAATAATAAGATTTAGTTGCAACGTCTTCAAATTGCAAATATAAAATGAAAATAACATTTAAGTTACGTTCAGTTCTGTATATTAAATAAAAATAAAAACATATAACATTTTCTCAATGGTCAGAATTTATTCTGGTAATCTCGACAGTATATTAATGAAAATAAAATATAGTTCTACCTAAAAATTCATTTTTAAAAGTCACTTTTTTAATGAGGAAATTGATGATATTTTTTATATTTAGTACTAATTATATTGTTTATCGATCGTTATCTGAATTTAAAATTAGTTTTTCCACAAATATCAATTCTTTATACATTTCTGTTGTTATACATCATATACCTAATTACGTTTGTAGTGCTTCATATAAAAATGAGATTTATGTAGGTGTGATTTCTCTCGCGTCCGTACGAGTTGACGTGATGATCTTTCAGAACTTGATACTCGAATTAAAAGCATCCGTGGCTGTCAAAATTTTGGCAATTAATTTCCGACAGTTCGGTGGCCGTTTTTCCGACGGAGCGATTCACATACTGAAATTCGAGAGGCCAGTCAAAGGATAATAATTGTCCATTGGCACTGGTGTGGATGGTGGTAGAGGAACCATTGGTGCAAAGGGGACGCATGAAATTGAATATTGCTGCCGAACGATCCCTCCCGGAACGGCGGCGACACTGAGAGTTCAGGAGCCGGAAACGAAACTGTTAAAGGACAATAATTAATTCGTTCCTGACGGCAGTCTGACGGCTCGTTAGTCGCGTAATCCTGTCCATTTTTTTCCTTTCATCCTGCGCAATAATGCAACCGAGAGGATGATTTTGCAAGCAGAAAAAGGGGACAAGATGAAAGGTAAACCTAGTGTGTTTTTTTTTTTTCAAAGGCAAGAGGAGTAAATTGTTGGTTGAGATTGACTATGGTAAACACTTTCTACGCTTTTTTTTTCCTCTCAACAAAATTATTATAAACCCTTACATTCTTTAATCTGGTATTTTAGAATTTTTGCAGATTTTTTTCCATTGTTTTGAAAAAAACTGATTAAGTTCTTCTAAAAAAAATAAATTAAACCTAACGTATTGTACATATTTGTCATTTTTAACTTTTCAAGAATTTCCTCAAGTTTTTCTTTTATTACCTAAGCTCTTCGAGATGTTCTTTTGTTTGTTGAATTTTTTCGATAAAAATCTTGCCATTTGGATTGTGGAATTAATTCACTTTAACTCACGTGGACGGAAGAGAATGAGTTTTACTTTTCCCCAATAACGGCGAGGGGAGTTAGGGATGGTTTCCGTCGGCGCGACAATTTTGCGGGCAGAGCGCATCCCGCTTCGAGAGGACGAGGGGCAAAAAAGGGGTGAGCTTTGTTGCACGATTACA